TCTGTCTGACATCACCATCTAGAGAAACTAGGAATTATTCTGCATGAGGATTAGCTACTCTTATGACTTACCCAACAAGGTTTTAAAATTTCACACAAGATAATTACCATCTACGTGCACCAGCCGTTCACACCTGTGTAACAAACAAGTTGCATCAAATTTGTAACAGTATTTTTGAAACAAGTGGTCAAAACAAGATCTTTTTCTATTTAATTTGAACCGCTATAATGTTAGGGCCAACCTGCAGAACTGTAATGAGTATCGAATTTTCTGTACTTCATTACACAGTACATCTACGTTAGGCCAAGTGGTTTCTGACAGTAGAAACAGAAAAGTAAGCCTCAAGTGATCACACCGACTCCTCTAGCATTAACCTGAAGGCACCAAAGGGCTGAAAAAGGGAGAAAAGCCCAGGCAGAAGTTCGAGAGCTCACTAAAAAGTAAGGTAAAAGCAGACACAATGGGAAGAAAGAAGCAGACAGATGACAGTGGCAAAGGATACTGGAATGACTTCTAGGAAAAAAGTGGAGAAAAATGAAAAGAAATTAATGAAGACACATTGTGTGCAATAAAGATGAAAGTGAATCAGATTGCTTTTCAGTTACATCTTGCAAACACTCTTTAAAAATCAGATTACCCCTTTTCATTCTGTATTTAGCCCTAAAGATAACGTAGAAACTGTTCAGAGGCTGCAGACTGTTCCGGGACAGGAGATTTTACTCCTTTGACAATGACAAAAATCAATCAATTTTACCACAGCCTACATATAAAAAGAAGTGAACCCAAAGTCGAGAACTTTGTATCAACAACATCTTTATCATGATAATCAGAGCCTCGTTGAACATTTTTCATCTCTATAAAGCACTTCCTTTGGATTAGGCTTCCTTGTACATGGGGTGACAGTGGTGTAGCAACAGAACAGCGCGTGCAGTTCTTTCCCTGCATGCTGTTCTCCACCTGATCTGCTTTGCTCCACAGCACAGAAATCATTCAGCTGCACAGCCAGGAGTTACAAACACCACAGATTGCAGAGATGAGCCACCCTTCAGTAAACAAAGTGCTTTGTTGCAGTCTTGTATTGAAATGGCACACCTCACTGAGCTGATGAGATGCAGAGTCCTGCTCAGAACCTCAGCAACCAGCCCCTCTGCAGCCCCTACCCACAGCCCTCAGGAGCCCTGTTGGAGGCAGGCAGTGCTCAAGCACACGGCCCATGCAGATGTCCTCCAGGAAAAGGCAGCACAGAAGCACTCCCTGGTCAGGTTTTTGGATCACAACATAGACACAAAGGCACTTGCTGATGTTCTCACTAGCATCTGCCACTGGTGAGCAAAGCCACCGCTAGGACAGCAAGGAGATCTCTGAGCAGATAAGGAATGCTTTCCCAGTACAGAGCAGTGAGATTATCAGGAGAACTGGCTTGTATTTTCTTTCCAAAGCACCCGAGGTACTGCTGGAGGCAGGCTGCAGCTGCCGGGCAGCGGGGAGGAGCACTCTGGCTCTCAAAGTACCGCCAGTAGCACTTGTACAAGCACAGCTGTAACCTCTTGTGAGGACATGAGCACTCATCATCCCGCGTTCTGCCAAACCTTACTCAGTCTCTTGTTTAGCACATGCAGTGCTGAGGAAAGCTCTTTCATCTATGCCTGCTCCCACACCTTGGCATCCCCTTCATGCCTTCCCGCACACAACCAGGCCAGGAGCAAAGCAGCTTCGCAGCAGTGAGACCAATAACCCCAGAGGAGATGGTGAAAGTAAGCATTCTGCTCTTAGTGCAAAGACAGAGCACTGAGACGTGCTGCTTTGGCCGATCTATGACTAACATACAACCACATGTCCTGGGAAGCCCGTTTCTTTTGGTCCAAAATGTGAGATTCCTCAAACAAAGTTATTCTGACTCTCCCATTCCTCTGATGCAGCATAAAACATCTCAGCCCGATGCAGGAGAGGGATGGGTTAGCCATGAAGCAGACATCTATCCAGGACTTCACGTTTGTAAGTCTTTACCTTTCCTGTGGGCCTGTGGGTCCAGGACCTTCTGCTTCTGGCCCTGCAAAAGCATCCTTCTGACAACATCACATGAATAGTCTAAAATAACATTTCAGCAAGAGTCTTATTTATCCATCCAGGAAGAAAATTCTGCATTAAGCATTCAGGGGAAGGAACACTAAGCTTCCCAGGAAGTTACAAGGAAGTGAGTTACTCATTGTGTTGCCTGCAACACTGCATGAAGCTTTGCCAAATCTTCCAAACACAGCTGTTTCAAGGGACGTGCTACAAATAGGTTAGGAAAGATGTAATTACAGCAGAGCCCGTACAACACATTATTGACAATAAATGAGACTAGTGCTGCCTACAGGCACGGGACTTTGCTGATGCTCACTCTCTTGTTAAATCAAGTTCAGGGCCCTCAGCAAAAGAGGAGAAAGCCAAACATCTCTGCTTCATGTCTGGAAAATGGTACAACTTGAGAAAGAAAAAAGTACGTGACAGGTTAAGTTGGTCTCAAGAATGCAAACGCAGACAGGCAGTGAAAAATTAGTGAGGTAAAACTCCAATACTGTTGGCACAAACTTCCAAAGAAAATTATGTCTGATAGTTCTCCACAGAATCAATAGAAAGGTTGCTTTATTTAAGAAAAGTCTAAAAGTATGGTTGCATTTGTACTCTGACCGACAGAAAATAGCATTTAATCTAAGCTGAAAAAAAAACCACTTAGCTTTAATCTATATAAGAACATTTGACATCTAGTGTTAAAAAACAAAACAAAACAAACCTCCTCACTCGGAGACCTGAAATTCCAAGGGAAGAAATACAAAAACGTGCATCTCAGAAAGCTCAGGGAGAACTCATAACTCTCAGCAAAGAGCTACAGAAAGGAGCCGTACTTCCAGGCAGGAGGAAGAGGCGGCTGGAATGGGCTGTGGCAGCCACCCTGCCCTGCAGCCACTGCCTGCAGCTGCTCAACCAACGCCTCCTCCCCAGGGTTACGCTCAGTGGACTCAAAGCAGTTGTTCCAAGAGAGCTCAGCTACACTCTGCTGAAGATAAGGCACTCTTGTGGCTCATCAGCTTCTTAAACACCATTACTCCAGCGTAAGCATCGATTGATTAAACTGGGTAGAACTAACTTTCAGTATTTGAGAGGCACACCCTTTATTTTTAAATCTGACTCTTAACCTATGTGTCCAGGAGGCACATGGCTCTTGATGCTTAATTGGAAGCTTTATTTCAGTTTATGAAAGTACAACTTTAATTTATTCTAACATCTAAGGGAGCTTTGTAACATTTGTAACAATGTAATGAGTACAGTATTTTTAATTTATGAAGCTGAGATTTTACTACTACAGTAGTTTTAAAAGAAGTATGTACCTATAATTAAGTGTGTAAGTCTTTCAAATAACGACTTCTAATTAAATTAATCCTTTATGTAAAATAAAGTGTCTTTTAGATAGCTAATTCCAAACTTTAACAAAACTACAGTAAAGCAAATGAGATATGTTCAGTAGTTGAAGCAAGTACTGTTGAAAGCATTAACACTACTGTAGGTCTCTAACTGACAGAAATACTTACAGAGAACAAGAACAAAAGATGGCTTTTCTCAATATAGACAGACTTCAGCAATTCACTCAGGTGAGGTCAAACATAACAACAAATAGCTAATTCTAAAATACAGACACCAGACACAACGTCCAATTCAGTTGGTACATTCCATTAATGCAATCACCAGTTCAAGGTATCAGAAGTCTGGAGGTATGCAGCACAACATGGCTATGTGATTAGACACACTGACCATAGCACTTAGGAAACACTTAACACAAGTAACAGCTCACTCTGCTCTTTCCATCACAAAACACAGTTTGCCTCTGTATTGCTAAAACTTTCCCATCTGAGCATCACAACCACATTAAGGGACTGCTGCTCTAAATCCCTGTTCTACAAGAACTATTTAAAATGTTAAGAAAAGTAAAAACTTTCCCCCAAACCTTAAATCAGTACTTCAATAAACCTTAAATCAGTGTCTTACTCCCGGCCTCTACAGAGCCTCTGAAACCCCCCTGCTTGCCAGTATTACCAAATAGCTGTTAAAGCTTACACCTCTGATAGCCTGCCCCCCTCCCTCCTACACATCCCCACCTGCTCCACCTGTGCTTGAGATACTGCTTTACCACTTACTTTCAGATGGGTAGGGTGGTACATCCTATCATTCATTCGCTTGCTCCCAATTTTTAGACAACAGCTCCACTGCTAGAGACCTGAAACCCCTTCCACCGTACTCAGTCTACCCTCTGAACAGACTGCCTTCTCAGATTACACCTCACCACAGCCCAAGCCTCCTTCAGGAAGGAAGCTATTACTTAAAAAGTCCACAGACATTTTTGTCTATAACACCACCTAGAAACAGCTGCTGATTGTGTTATTGATCAAGTGTATTTGGCAACTTCTGTACTTCGTACTGACAGATGGAGCTACCAAATTTTTTTTCGTTCAACTGAAAGCAGTATTACTCATCTGTATATCTAGTCAACATCTCTGCTCATATGCATATGTTATGGTGTCTTTTATGTAGTGGTAGCACCCAACTTCATTTACACGTTGTCTGGGATAGAATAAAAACATGGTGCATAAATAAGGTTGAGCATGAGAAACTGGCAGAATGGCTGAGGCACAACTGGTGAAGGTGCTATGGATACAAAGCGATCAGAAGAAATGAAGTACAACTCAAAAGAGAGCAGTGCTGTGAAAGAAGAGTGACAGGAGGACCTGGCAGGCACTGTTATATAAGAAACAGGATGGAGGGTTCCAAGTATAAAAGAAGCTACAAAAGCTGTGGAGCCTGGAGTGGAACACGGAACCAAAAAGTGTACACTTGAATGAGGGGCTGAAGCTTAAGAAGGGACAAGGAGATACTTGGGTTGCAAGGAAATGTTGAAAGCAGTGCTAGAACTGCCACAACAGACAGTTAAGAAACAAAGACTGAACAACTCACTGTACAGAAAACACTGTCCACCTGCTTTTATTTATTAACACACTCTTTCAAAACAAAGTAAACATTACTCTCTAGAAGTGAAGTTGCTGCCATACAAGTCAGTAAAAAAATAAGCAGCATTTTAATTGCAAAGCCTTGCAATGCAATTAGATGCCAGTGTGCCATCCAGTACATTCAAAGCATGTACAATTATGTGAAAAAATGGTAATTTCATAGCTTCCTGTCGGCCCTGCTACAAAGTGAGGAAATAAATCTTGGTAAACAGTTTCCTGGGTAGCTCACGGCTGGAAACCAGCAACTTAAATTATGGATAACATGACACTACAGCTAAACTGCAGTAGTAGATGTCAGCACTAAAACCTTAACAAAAGATTTCTATGCAGGCAAAAGCATCAGTATCAGTTTGAATAGCACTGTTTGGGATCAAACCAATTCACACAGCTTTAGTACTATAATATTTAGGTCTTCTACTTCCTTAGGCTCCTGTTGTATCTTGGCTTTTTATAGAGTTTTTTGTTAAAAAGTTTGTGTTCTATCACACACACCTCTTCATGGATGGAGGAAGGCTGTATCCTCAGAAGAAAGGAGAAAAGGCTCAGTACAAAATGGTAACTCTTGGGAAAGTCCTCTTCTCTGTAGTGAGCCAGATGACCACACAATCTGAAAAGAAAGAAAGGAAAAAAGAAAGCCCTGGATTACAAGTGTATTTAGTTAGTATTTTGCAAACATTTACATACACAGTTGTAATTAGAGGGAAAGTACCAACATTTTATCAGCTGTCTAAACCACAATTCTGATCTACCACGTCAGTTCTGTCCTAAAAAAACCCAGCTGCTTCAATTAAAAAACCCTTTATATTCATATGAGGACTCAGGTGCTATTCCCTGCCTAAACCCTGTGCATCCTCTCGCTTACAAGGTGTTGCCCTGGGATGTGGAGAAGCGGAGCTTCCATTTCCCCTCTGTCTGATTCAGAACAGCGGTCTTAAATATTCACCAGAACAAGGACTGGAACCTGTCTGTCCCAATTTATGGGCAAGTGTGCTAATTACTAGACTATAGAGTTATTTGCTCGCTCCCTCTGGCCCAACACCCATTTACATTTTACCTCAAACTGGAGGAGCAGATACACTATTCTGGAGTGCCACGGAAGCCATGGGACTCGCACTTCAGGGAGCAAAGTTGCTGTTCAAATCCTCCTGAAGCCTGGCAGATTAGAAATCTGAACGTAGGTCTCTCACACCAAAGCCTGTCCTGCACAGTCCTCACACTGCCTGAAAGCCACCAGCTTACAAAAACCAAGTTAAACCACTCATTTCAGCAGTGGCAGGAGAAACCAGCTGATCCCATAACCCACACTAAGCGTTTGCTAAGTTTGAGCTCCATTTATAGGTACTGTTGATTGAACCATTGAACCAAATCTGCATTTTTTGGCTAACAGAAATTAAAACATTTTGTGATGCTCCAGTCTTAACCCCGAGTTTCAGCAACTACAACTCTTACGGCAGTCTAGTTGTCAGAGCTCAGTTTTCACTGGGAGGGCAGGGAAATTATACTGGATATTTTTAGGCAACGTGTAATTACATCTACATTATAAGGCACCTATCTGATTAACTGGTGTTACACTTTTCACAAGAGTCCCAAAACACAGCCATAAACACACCACTGTCCCATTTTGTGCTATTTACACTACGAGCATCTCTAAAGAGCTACAAAATTTCCAATACATTTTAATCTGTGGAAAGTAAGGGAAACATTCATCATTTTTCTTAACATTCCTCACACATTGTACTTTATCATCTCAAAATACCAAGGGAAATCAAACACTGCATGTGAGTACAACGAGATGGTGGTACGTTTCAGCAGTGGCAACAGTGACAAGAAAGACAAGCCCTGTTCTGGATGGCCACGAACAGCTGTCACACCATGAAACGAAGAGTGTCTCTAATAAACAGCTCATCTGTGTGAACTGATGGATTCTGACCAGGGAAATGCATTCCAAGCTTAACACTGGCTTCAGTGCTCTGGAAACAGTAAATGGCAACGTTGGAATATTGCAGAATTTGCACCAAGAGTGTCGTACAAATGCTCACACAGGAACACAAAGAACACTGTATGAAAGTTTCTCAGGACCTATGGCACCAATACGAGGCTGAAGTTGACAGTTTCCTGCCTCACACAATTACTAGTGATGAGATGTGGTGTCACCACAATGTGCCAAAGTCAAAATAGCAGTCCACGGAGTGGCAGTATGAATTTTCCATATGAGGAAAAAGTTGAAGAGACAGCTTTCAGCAGGTCAAGTGACGTGCACTGTCTATTGGGATAGGAAAGGGGTGATCCTTCTGGATTTCCTGGAACTTGGACAAACCATCACCTCTGACTGCTACATTGCAAGGCTGACTGAGTGGAAGGTTCAAACTTTCAGAGTCAGACCAGAGAAGACAACCTTTTTCTTGCAACACAGTCATTCCAGGCCCCACACCAGTTTGAAGACCATGAAGCACATTACCAGTCTTGGTCGGACTGGTACCACTGACCATGTTTGGGCCAATGAAAGATGGACCGCATGGGCAACATTTTCCTAGTAACAATGCTGTCACAGCAGCTACGAAACAGTGAGTCAGCTCCGCTGGTGTAGAGTTTTATGAACGTGGCATGTAGACTCTTGTTCTCTGCTGGTGAAAATACATGGCAAGTGGTGGTGAGTATTTTGAAAAGCAGAGCTTTGGAGGTGAGAATCTGCTCAAATAGCGTTATTGCGCTCTTTGTATCTGTTGTAGTTTCCATAGAGATAAATAGGAGGCGTTACTTTTGGAGCATCACACACAGTTATATACCCAATTAATTTAGAACTCAGCTTAAAAATAAAGGCTTTAAAGTAAAAGAAAACGTAGAAACATTTTACCAATCAGCTAACCGCTCTCAGTTCTGCCCTCTGAAATCCTTCAGCCCTACCACTGAAGCACTCCAGCAGTCCCAGTTAAACCACGCTGATTTTTAGAGAATCTGTAAGTTTGTTTTTAGTTCTGTTATACACACGTACGCTTGCATGGGACAGAACCTGATATCTGAGGGAGTAGATGTCATTCTCCAAAGTTAAGTAAGTGTCAGATGTATAATTAATTACTTGCATTGCAAATGATATAATGGGAAATTTAGCCGGTAAGAGTTTAAATTCAAATCTTGTTTCATGAAGGCTAAGACAGTTTGCCATAATCATTTTAATACATTACATATGAAAATGTAGGCTTAAAAACAGACTTTGCATGAAAAGATTATTCACGCAAACACACACTGAAATACCCTCTCGTTCAGTGGGTATATAAGATTTACGCAAATTTGTGGTAAAAGGATTATTACATCCCCTCCCTTAAAAAAAAAAAGGCAGAAAAAGCTTATTCATTCAAAAGAATGAATCCACACAACCAAGGCTCTTGTAATACAACACTATGTTTACATTATTCCAACCCATTTCTGTCACAGTGGATATGTGAAAGGCAATGTGAAAAGGAAAATAAAGATAAGCAAATAAATCCACTAAAAAACAACAAAAGGCTGCACACATGTAAAAGGCAGTTATTTTCAAGGGTAATATTTAATCTTTTAAAAATCAGGAATGTATCACTGAGATTTTGTAGGGACTACTGCTCTCTTAAGCGTGACATTTAGACGTTCAGATAAAGACTTAAGATGTCATTCAACACTTATTCAACAGCACACAAATGAAAACTCATTTCACATTAAGGTACCTCAACCTGCAGAAGGAAAGCTACATCACCTGGCCTATCACTGTCCTTGCTATTTAGGTCCTTGGAAGTAAATAACCATACTAAGAAATGGCACGATTGTTCTGATAAAAATTCTTTTACGCCTGTGAAGTCAGGATTTGGGCACAGTTCTCTAGTACAGAAAGCCACTATACAACTTCAAGAGCACAAGAGCTTCCCTTTTCCCAGATTTCTTATGTTGCTTTTCCAAGCTGCTTGCAAAGATAGCTCAGATGTAATAGTGTTTGAGCCCTTTTCTCACCCAATCACTTCATTCTGAAGTACACTTTGGAGGCATTAACTGCTAACTTGAAATCTAACTGCTAATGTGGATTAAAGCCACGAAAAAAGCAGCACAGTGATTTAAAAATAAATTTTGAACACTTTTTTTGTGACTTATAGGAGAGAGGAATGATGTTTTCTCAGTCTCTTAAATGCAATAGCTTCTGAAGTACTATGAAGAAGGAAGTGAATATTTCTACCTAGCTGCTGCTCTTGCCATGTGACTTTAGTTGTTGACTGTCTCATCTCCTCTCTTCTCAAAAGCTCGCTTTAATCACTCTTTATATTACAATGCCTACTCCCAATCCAAGCCCAAGCACTCTGCACACACCCCCTTCTACAAATGGTTTCAACTGTATGTGAACACATAGCTGTGTACACACCCCACATGTCATTTGTAAAGGAAAAAAGAGAGATCTACGTACATACACACACTGTGCTTCACCATTCAGAGGATTTTACGAAATGCAATTAATAGAAATTTAATACTTACTTCTCATTACATAGTTCATCTGTGCAAAGCCAATAGTCAGTGTTGATGGCTGTAAGTAAACCATGTTTTTCTTGCAAAATTCCCTTCAGGCTGTGCCCATGAAAACAAGACCCATCTGTGTTTTCTTCAGACCAGCTTAACTGAAAACTTGATGGATTTGGCCTTTCTGCAGGTCGCACTGAACCAGACAACTTGCCAAACTGATTCTGCAAGTTCTCGACCATTTCTGTACAAATAGAAATAAGACAAAAAAGATAATAATCCCACAAGGCAGAAATATTAAGTTTTGGAACATTGTTCTGAGGTGATTTGCAAAGAAATAACATGGTATTTGTGTCCTTTACATTTTTTCTTAACCCCCTGCAAGGAATCCTGAGAAAGCTTAAAGTTCTGTGCTTTCCTCCACTGTACTTAACATTGATTTTTGTCATACGTTTTCAAAAATATTTTGAAAAACCATTCAAAATGCCACAGTACCCAATGACAACAGTACAAAAGCATTCCCTGAGTAAAGCCAGAAAAATCCATCTGATACTGCTGATAATTTCGTTTCTACAGAACACCTATGCCAGGATGCCTTCTGCTGTACTTATCTGGCCATGTGCTATCACTCAGCCCAGATACAATGAGTAGTTCCTCATGTATCAGCATTCACCAAGTTTCAAATACAGACTTAAGCTGAAGCTTCTGATAGTGCAGATTTCAATTGGAAATAGAATTTAAAAACAGGCGGAACAAACCAAAAGCCACACCATCTTTCTCTACAGCTAGAGAAATACTAAAAAAAAATTATAATATATGATTTAGGAAAAAAAAAATCAAAGTTTTTCTTCTTCTTAATAAGGATTTTATAGGGTTTCTCTATTTTTCATTCCCACCCTTTCAGAAGCCCATGGGAACACTCTTGGGACTCCTAACCACCCCATGTCAAATGCGAGTGAGAATGACAGACTTTCATACTTATTTGATGCTGATGGACAGAAGGGAAAGACAGTGCAGTGACAGATCAGCACACACAACACCAAGCCACACACAAGGCCACCAAGCCTTTCTTCCCCAGGATAAAAAGCCAGCTAGAAAACAGCCTTGCTAGAGCTCCAGCTTCTTTTTATGACCTGTATCTAACAAACTCATTCATAAATTGGAAAAAGGCAAGGAAGATATCTTGAAGTGATCCAGGGAGAGGGATGGCTATCTTTCAAGAGTAAAGATGATGGTTTCAGTAAAATCAACCATAAAAATCAAACCAAAAGCTGAGGAAGGTTTTTGTAACCTGTATCTTAAATGTACGTATATGCTAAGTGATAGAAAGGGCAAAAAGCTATCACAGGCAAAGAAGAAGAACAGGAAAACCATCCAGAAATAACAAGCCAAAAGTACAAACTGCATTAACACCAGAACAAGAGTGGTTTAGGGCACTCTTTGTATAGGCATTCTTTGTCTCTACTATTTGAAATTTGTTTTCAGATGAATCTTGCCTTGTTGAAATGACATGATGTGAGATTCCTGCCTGCAACAGCTCAGCAATCCAGTTAGTCCTTTCCTATCTCAAAGAGAAGAAGATCCAGAAGGAGAATCTAAAGTGGCACAGAATGAACAACAAATGATTGAACAACAAATGATTTTTCATTTTTCTTATTGACAGGGGAACTAAAGGGCTCCTGAGGAAATAATTTCAGAATGAAAAGAGACCTAAGAATGTTTTTACACAGAATGTGATTTAACTGCAGCATCACCCCTACAGAATTTTGAAGCATAAAAACATGACTAAAAACCCAATGCAATCTTGCACAGTAAGAGTTATGAGTTAAGTGTTATATAACATGAGTTATTCAAACTAAACAGGAGTATGAGCCAAGAAGCTCCTGTATCAGTCACTTCCAGCAAATGGAAGATTATATAAGGAGAAAAACATCACTTGCCACATTAACATCTCTCTCCCATTACCTATCTCTTATTACTGTAAAATACTGAATGAAGAACCTCAGTTTTTGTTTAGTCAAATAAAATTCCTGTTTTCGTGTTGCAGTTTCTGTTGGTTTTGTTTGTTTGTTTCTGTTTGGTGGATTTTTTGCTTCTTTGTTTTAAGAAGAAAAGTAAAACCCAATCACTGGGCAGCCTGATCTGGTGGTGCAGCCCTGTCCATGGCAGTGAGTTCAGGCTAGATGATCTTTAAGGTCCCTTCCAAACCAAGTCATTCCCTGATTTCTTTGAGGTACTTCCATATGTATTAAAATGGATGGACCTTCACTCTGACCATGAACAGCCAGCTGTTCATGCAAAACCACATTCAGAGAAATCCTCCTCACTTTCTGAAGAAGACTGAAAGAGTAACTAGGAGAGAGGAGGGACAGAAAGATCTACCCAAGGACAAACTGGGGGATGTATATGTGGAAAGAGAGAAGAGTTGAAAAGCCATGGGAGAACAACAAAAAATGATGAAGAGCACAGTTATACAAAGGCAGCTGACAGATGAGTGAGATGAGGACAAAGTGCCAATTCTGAGACTGCATTAAGTAGGTCGCTATGAAGGCTGCAGGCTGCAATTTCAGTTAAGCAGGAGGAAAATGTCTGATTGAAGAATTCCAGCCATGGGTTGTAAAATAGTACTACATTCATTGTACCCAGAGATGAAAGACTGAAGGGAAAGTATTTTAAGATGTAAATATTATTACAGTCAGAATTTCTATGATGGGAAAAGTTGGAGCAGACTTTTGTGCTGGCAGAAAGAGGTGGAGTGTACTCACGTCTTCTCCTAAGGATTTTAGATTTCTTCTTGACTGAATAAAACAGTGGCTTCTCACATTTCCACAGATACCTACAAGTAAGAGAAATAAAAACTGTTAGGAAAAAGAGCTGGAGAAACCATGTAAAATAATAATTTCTTAATTAAGTGGAGCTATTAAATAAGAACAAAATCATCTGTTGTTAGCATGGTTAAAAGCCACCTCTTCCAACACATATAGCAGTCTCTTTCTGCATAGATAAATGGAGGCATGTAAGCCCAGATTTACTGTAATTGGTTAATTGTTCAGTTGTATAAGTTACTTCGTCACAGAGAGTGTTTAATTAATATGTTAATAAATAAATATGTCTGTACATAGAAAATTATGATATGGATGGAATCGCTTTGTTCACCTAAGAGTCCTGAATGGAAACATGGAGTAAATTCCAAACTTTTTCATCTTCTGTGGGGGTTCACTTCATCTACCTTAATATTATTATTATTATTATTATCATCATCATCATCATCGTCATCATCATCATCATCATCAAGTACTTAAAAATCTCTTACTTGGCTTTTTCTTCATCCAGTTTTTTTTGCTCCACATCCAAGGTACATTTTATAACCTTGTACCACTTTTTGAACTCGAAATATGGACCACCTGAATAAAACATTCACATTTCAGTTTTAAGTTGTGAAGGAGTGAAAGAAATGTGACACACAGAATGTGGTCGTCACGCAGTTGGATTCTGCATCTCCCGTCTGCAGCAAATCTTAAATTCCATCTGCTTATAGAAAACATACTTAATCCAACATTTCTGTAAGACAGAGAAAATGAAAAGCAGAAATGCAGGAAAGGAACAGCATAACAGGTGGGAAGAAACACCTCTGCTCAGAATATGTTTCCTAGTTTTAGACAAGTCAGTCCTTCTCCCTCCTTTCTGAAAGTTAAGTGTAATTACTGCCTGAACTAAATAAATCTCCACAACACTACCTGGCCCTCCTCTGTTTGAAATCTGACTTCAAGGAATTAATGGAACTGTACAAGTGTAGTTTTAAACAAGTTCTGAAGCTCAGATGTAGGAGGTGAAACTGTGTCAATCCCCCACTATCCATCCTACTGCCCATGAGATGTTGCAAGGCAAGAAGGATTATTCAGACAACTGTATTCACTGCGTATCAGTGTCCCACATATTTTGAGCACAGGATTCTCACTCACTGATATGAGAACAAATACATACCAGTGCATGCAAAAATGTTAAGGCATAAGGCCTTCCAGCAGCATGTTTACCATTGATACTCCAAAGAGGCACAGGAGTGAAGTAGATCAACAGGGTACAATAAGTATTAGAACTGCCAACAGAACTATGGCGCAGGGTACATTTAAATAACCAACTCTTATTATCCGTGGGTGTATTATCTGCATTGTGAATTAACCAGGCTTTGCATTTCCCCATCACCCCAGCTGCACTGCATAGATGCTTGCATCATGCTCATTTCTAAAGAGCTAGCTGGCAAACTGTTCTGAAGGTGAATATATTGTTCTTATAAGCAAAGTTTTCTATGCTTTTGCTATTCAAGTTATCCTGCCACGAGAGGCCTCACAAACTAGAACTATAGGTGGCCTCAAATGGACAAAGAAAGGAAAGATCCTTCAGTAGTTATTAAAATGCAATGGTATGGATAAAATTCTGTTTTGAACTCCCTACACAGAGGGTGCCGGGAGGTTGGTCCATGGGAAGAATAGAATTGTTATATTTACCTTAATACAAATTATTCAACATCTGTCACAAAGAAGCCTGCTGCCAGGGACATGACACTAACCGTTCACCTGGCTGGTACTGCTAGTCCTGCATTCACATGGCTGAGTCAACTGGCAAACACACAGCTCTGTGATGCACTCACACATACACACATGCCTCAATCACATTTTATTTGAGCATAAACAGCATTGTGTATGTGTGCAGTCTGCAGAACATACACTCACACACACACGCAAGGAAGCTACAACTACCTACTGCACAGCTTCCAGGCTGTCTCGAAAAACTGTAGGAGCTGAAATATTTTAGATAGCAGAAAAAAAAAAAAGACTAGAGAGAGGATAGTTGTATTGAAAGTACAGCTAGCATACACTGCATCTTTACAACGCAGTATCAGCCATTATTTATCTGAGCACAGTAAGCTTGGAAAAGTGCCAGAGGCAGTGCTGAGCTCTGGCACTGATCAGTGCCCAAACAGAACACTCTCACATCAGCTGCCTGCTGCCACTCCAACAGCTGAAGAACGGGGACAACAGAACACAGCACATGAATTGTTTTGCACCAGCAGATTTCAAAGAAAAAAAAAGTGGGCAAAGAGTGAGCTGTTAATTCCTAAAGGCAACGAGACTTGTTAATAAGAGAGAAACCCTATTAAGACATTAATGGCTTTGAGCCTCGGCTTGCAAGCAGTTGTGCAACTTCTACTCGGGTCACTGTTGCCTGAAGTTTTCAAGGGAAACAAAAATGAAATAATAAGATCTGAAGTAAGTTGGAATATCCACTTAAAATGAGAATTACAGGTTTTAGTTGTCAGTGGGGACTGTCTCTAGATACAGAGGTGATGATGCATTCATGTATGACTAATGGTCATTTTTGTGATTGACATAAATGTAACAGAAGGGTAAAAATGAACCAAAAAAAAGGATGTGAGGCTTAAAACATAAATCACTGCAACACATCTTTGATCTTGTCTTCAGCTGTGATCTGGATAAGGTCACAGAGGATCTTCCTGAGGACTTCTAATCTTTGATTTGGTCTTTTTGCCCTCAAAGAACTACGTTCACACCATTATCTTTTCTATCTTAATTGCTGCTAGCTTTTCCACACTCTCTCAGGATTATTTGGAAGAAGAAAATAGATTACATCTCAAATATGTTACACACTAAGACATTTTATTTAACAAGACTAAACAAGTTTGGATTTTATCATAAATGTGGTTGGATGCCCCTAGTAAGTATCTGCTATTTACGATCAAAGTGCATTCCCACTTTACGAGGTAACCATTCACCCTCACCTAACATGCACAAAAAGGAGACGAGAGCAGGGAAAAGCAGAAACGTATCCAGTAAAGTACGCACAAACTTCTCTATCCTTATATTATTCTTAGGTATCACTATCAGAATTAAGCAAGTAAGCCAAAACAATTTTATGTGAATAAAATCACAATGTCTTTAAAGAATTGCCCGAAAAGAATAAATGACAAAATCACTCTTTAACAGTCAGTAGGATTAAGACTTTCTAAGCCTGATTACAAAGTTATTTGGTTTAGAAAATCAAAAGGCTGCTTCTACTACAATATTTACGTACCTTCACCTTCTTTGTTATTTTTCTTTCTTTCTGAGGAGAAGTCTGAGAGCAACCTGGAAGAAAGAAAGGAAGAAAGAAAACTCAGACCCTTGTGCAGACCCAAATGCTGCAATTTTCACATGAATTTCAAATGTGGCTGACAAAAATACACCCTAATTCTCCTTCCAGGTTTCAGCTTCAAACTGCTGATTTGTAAGTAACATAAGTAACTTACAAATAAGTAAGTATTTGTAACATTCAAAGGCTAAAATGCCCTCAAGTTCATGTTTTATGCTACTGAACAAAATACTACAATTTCAACATTATTATTGAAGGGAGGATGATCAAAGAGTTATTTACGCTACACGAAAGTTCGGGCTTTGTTAGAGAGCTGCCTACATACTTACCACTCATAGTGATCATCTAATAAAAACAGTAACTTTAGAACCACCACAATAACTGCTGCTGCAAGGACATCATATTTCACTTTCCTTGCTGATTTATTTCCAGGCGTGAGAGTCAGGAAATCCGCTTCTCCCATAGAAGTCTTTTTGACCACGCGACAAGTCCAGTTGTGCAATTCATCTAGTCAATACAAAGCAGAATATAAAAGGAGTACGTTGAAAGAAGCTAAGAATACTTCTGCAGTGCAAAATAGTGGTCATCAGAGGAAAACACCACTCCTGTCTTTGGAACAATTAGCCGTCTTTCTCAGGCTGAAAAGCATTTCTAGATGTTTTCATAGATGGTAGGTAATCTTTGCTGTAATTATAATAAAAATGATTGACATACAGTCACAGGGAAAAAGAATAAACTTTTTTAATATTGTCTTAATGTTATTCAAAAGATGGCATTATGTCATCCTGAACTTTGTTCCGGGAAAGTAAATCTTAAATCTATACACCTAATGACAGTTAAACTCTAGTTTTTTTTAAAAAAAAACAACATATCCAAAGCCAAAAATCTGTCAACCCCCTTTTTTTTCTCTCTGTCAGCTTAAAACAAATGTGGGACCAGAGCCAGGCCATAGCAGCACTAAGAGAACCAGGGGCTGCTTAAAGAAGCTGCCTGGGCACGGAGCCCAGCACGCCAGGCACTGCAGCACTGGGCACAAAGCAGACGTTCTCTGCTAAGGTTCAACCTGGAGCTGACCTGTAAGAGCTAATTGCAGCTGCTGCCATGGTTTGTACCAAACCTATACAGCTGCGGCTCCGAAAACAGCAGCACGCTATCCATACAGCTCTGTATTACTCCACGCTTATTTTTCACAGATACAAATCCCCCCAATTTCTCACTGTTCCTGTTCAGCAAGAAATACAGGTGGTGATTACATCACCATCGGATTCCACAAAGGTTAGCAACGTATGACTAAGTACAATCTTAATCCATCTCTACTTTGTATTCTCTTGCTGCTTACAAAGAGCTCACTACAAACCAGTATTTAATCCTCATACATAACAGTGGAAGTTAAGTAAAATCTGAAAAGTTTAAAGCACTTCCAAAAGAAATCTTTTTGTGACAGCTGCTGATACACTTTCTTGTACTTTCGATCATTTAGCCTATATTTTCATTGTTACTCACTGTCCTGAGAAGCAACGCCAATTCATTCTAGGAGTTGAAACAACAACCATCATCTTTTTTTCCATTTATAAAAGACAAATACAAACCATTCACACGCAGAAAGTAACAACCAAAACAAAAAGATACTTCTGTGTGACAAAAAGTTCAGTAAGCAAGGGAAGAGTAAATAGACAATAGATTCTTCTCTTCTACTAACTTCCAGAGGGTATTCAGAATCCTATTTCTCTGTAATTAACCTGAAAATACCAAATTTTTAGCCTCTCTTTGATTCCGTCAGCACTTCAGAATGTGAAAAATAAGTTATTTTCTATAGGCTCTACTGCAGCACCAGTGTAAAGCAACAAAAATAGTGCTCCTACTCCAGCGTTTTAGTCCTACATCTGATAGGGTGATTGTCTTCTCTTCACTAAGTGTCAGCAGACGGAAAAGCCAAGTTGCTTTATTCAGTGTAACTACTAAATAATAAAATGAAAACCCCCCAACTATTAATTGCTAGAATGTTTTTTAGGAAACAAATCTCGATTTGCAGGCTATTGGTCTGTAGAAGTCATCTCCAGAGACAGCAGCACGTGAGAGCAGCAGGGCAGTTCAGTAGACACTGCTCACAGACTGGCAGTCATCGGTCTTTCTTTGGTAGGTCAATATTCAAGACTTCATTTTAGAATAAAGAAAAATATTTCATATTTATGCAGTACGTTCTTTCAAACCTAAGCCAGGCCAACCAACCGAGACAAGCTGTTTTCTCACACAGCACCACTCATTAGTACTAAAATTATTGCTGATACGCAGTATCATAGAACACATGTTCAATATTGCATGTTATGCTTCCATTCAGTGCTGAACTTCATGAACCCCTGATCTAAAGTTACTAAACCAGGTGACTTCCACTAGGAGCTCTTAGTTCACATCACTACTGAAAGATGTGAAACAAAGCATCCACTCAACAGCCTCAGAGAGTCAGCACCAGAGAGCACTGCATATCTGGGCCTTCACTACCTGCTTGGATGTTTGATGGAGGCACTTCCTATACAAATTATCTTGCAGTTCAAGCTTAAGCATGTATAAAATAAAAGGAAAAGAGGAGGCATTTTTAAGAGTAGTAATTTAAGTCTTTTTGTTGGGGTTTAATAAACTGAAGAAAAACGTTATCGGTTCAGGTTAGGGAAAATATTTACCAGGTAAATTAGCTTCCATCAAGTACTTCATGCACAACACATCTGGATGCAGAAAGCAGTTGTTTGTTATATCTGGAAAACGAGGCAGGTCTAAAAATGCTGCAAGTTCAATCATTTTGTTGTAGACTTCTTCATATACAGGCCATGACTGAAAGACAGAGTTAAGAGCGTGTTATGTATTTGTGTTGGTGTATTTGTTATTGATTTTAATAATGAATGTTCTATTTTAATACAGAAACACTGCATTCTTTCAGCACTTTGCCTAACTGAACACACGTGTGAGAATGGAGCCAGACTGCAGTACTGCAAAGAGAAACACGGCTACTTTTAAAGCCCATAAAAATGCACATAATGCCAATAAAATATTGCTGTTCAGACCTGCTGCCAAGCCACTGCCCTCTTAGTGAAGAGATCAGTACATTTCCAGATGCTCCAAGACTGAAACTGCATTTAAAATCAATAATTAAATAGAAGGTGAAATATCTCAAGAGGTAAGAGATAACAGAATCAGAATGGGTGAGGCTGGGAGGGAAACCATCTGATCCCAGCGCCCTGCTCAGGTCAGCTACAGCAGGTTGGCCAGGACTGTATCCAGTTGGATTCTGAGCATCTCCAAAGATGACAACTACCTATGACTGTGTGGCCAACCTGCTGTTGCAGTGGTCCACTACCTGCACTGCAGAAAATATATATATATATTTCTTATGATTGAATGGAATTTAATAGCTAATGGTGTGACCATGAAAAATAGTGTTTTGCAGCTGAGCATTTACTTTATCAGTGTTACTATGCTCCATCATAATTTCCACAGAAATAAATAGGAGGCATTACTTTCAGAGCAACCTAAGTACTTCCCTTTAATTGGAATTTAGCAGAGGTTTACACTTTGTGCACAGATTCAGAACTTCCTTGATCAATAATGAATTCAGGGTTCTGGTTTTTATAGACCAGACTGAGAACAGAGCAATCATGTTTATGACAACAGTAAGACTGAAGTAATGTCTTTTTATCCAATCATCTGGTTTCATTTCTTTTAATATAAGCTATGTAGCCAACGTTCACATTTTATAGTTTTAGAGTGATATCATACTTTTTGTTTTTTTTCAAGTGCTCTCCCCCCAGACTGCAGTTAAGACTTGCTCAATTGCATTAATAAATGCTTAAGTAAACAAATAATCCTACTGTCACTATTACACATGCCAACTTCTTGTAACAGTTAGGAAGTTGTTCATTAGATTTTCTAAACGGTGTTAAAAAGTGGCTTAGGCTTCTACATGACTATCTTGAGAAACAAGAAAAACACGCATTGCCGGACCTCTGCAAAAGCTCGGGCTGGCCGTGCTTCCCTTCCTCTTGAAAGAGCAGCCGTTAATTGAACACCAAAACAAAACCTGAATCAGATTTCACTTTTCTCCAGTGTATTTGGAAAAAAAAATCAAAGTCCCAGATGATTCAAATAAAAGCATCACATAAGTAATGTTCCTAACTAGATACAAAGGAAATGTGTTGGATGAACAGCAGCTGAATTAGTAGCTTCTTAATAGCACAGCACAATAAAGACACTGAGAATTCAGTCATTTAAAGCATTCCCATTCTCAAACACTAAACTATCACCAGTGAAGTTATCTGAAGCCTAATTTAACCAAGAGCTGCTTTAAGGTACATAGCTCTTAATTTGAAGGTCCTATCGCTTTTTATATGAGCTCTTCTCACCACATCAGGCTAAGGAGCCAGCACTCCAGTCCTAGGTTCTCTAGGTCCCAGGAACACTGAGAGCTATCATTTGGCTCATTTTAACAGAGTGTAAACAGACAGAGCTATTAGTCAATTTATGTTCATAAAGAGATGTGAACACAACTGGGACACGTGGCTCTAGAAGGACACACTAATCCACCACAGAGACCAACCAACTCAATTACTGCTTCCCAAGGCTTAACTCTCAAGTTCCACATCATCGACTGCACAACTCATGCCTCTACAATGCAGAGCTGAGTTACAACAAGGTAAGATGAATGGAACCCCGTGCTTCCAGAACCACACAGCCATCACCTGAGCTTTGGGCTGTAGGTGTAAGCTGAACCTAACAGATCACATCTCAGCAAGACATGTCACAGCAAAGAGCTGGAAGGCTTGAAGGTTGAGGACTGAAGAGACTAGAGAGCATTTCTAGCCCTGGAAATTCTTATCTGTCACCACATACACCTGCCTAATTCTGAAGGAGGTCTGATTTCATACAGAAAATCTCTTATGCTGCAAAATCTTATACTAACTGGGAGGGTTAAAACAAACAGAACACCCAAATTCCACACAACAAGCACAGTAAATGCCAGAACGATACTAAGAAAAAGCAAAATACAGCAAAGCAGCAGCTTTCAAAGTCAGACATCCACATCACGGCTGAGGCTCAAAGGGAGCCATGGAAGTCATTTGGTTCAATCATGGACCAACTGGGTCCAACATAGAGCAGCCTAGTTGCCCAGGCCTACATCCAGGTGGCTTCTGAATACCTCCAAATTGATGAATATCAGATACCTCCTAATTGATAAATTTTATCACTGTCTACCTAGCTTTGCATCTCTTCCAGCAAAACAAACAAACAAAGTGATAAAGCAAGTTGCAAAAAAAAAAACCAAACAAACAAACCCCAAAACACCAAATCAACTAGGAAAGCAAGTTTCTGAGCTGGGGCTTCCTTCTAACGAAAGCAAAGCCTCCAGCACCTCACGATTAAACCCCAAGGCAGGAGTCCTTGGACAAGAGGGGATTAGACCACACACCACACATTTTCCGAGTACAACTTGCACTTACCCAATCACAAATTAAAAGATTTTACATTACTTATTTGCAGTTGCGTTTCTGTGTCAAATATTAGGACAACTCCCCAGTCCATCAGCACATGGAGTTACTAAGGTCTCACTCTGTTTCGAGAACCTGGGAAACACTCCACATATAAAACTCAGTTACAAACCCTTGAGGGCACTTAATAATTTCAGGAAGACTGACAGAAAAACCCTTTTAAAGTCATGCCATCTGATAGCCCTTTCAGGTGTTTCGCAAGCTGGAATTTCTTCCAGACTGATCAACATTGCTGACAGAGCCCATAACTCTTCCAGAATGGGTACAGAGGTTACTGAAAACTTTTCTTAACAGCTTTGTCTTGAAAATCTTTTGTATCTCATTCTCACACATGACAAACAAGGTAACTTCAGGTCTTCTACAGAAAGCAACGTGGAAGATTGATACAACTTAATGCTTTCCTTTTTTCTCTCTCCTCAACTTCAGCTTTCCATAGGAGAACGAATATATAATGTCTAGTTGGTAAAGATGCATCTAGTATAAGATTTTCATTACAATATATACTCATTACTGTTTAAATTAGTTGCCTTTATTGTTCAAAATTACATGAAATTTTTCACCTGTGTTAGAAAAGAACCACCTGGTTTTCAGAAGGAGGTGAGCCAAACTATTAACATGATAATCAGATCACAGCAGCAGGTAATTGTTTTGGGTGAGCCAAGATTGCAGCCTCTCCTACTTGTTTGGACAGTATCAGAATGTTGCTGATCAACAAGTAGAAAACAGTATACAATTGGCTGGCTTTCTAGATTCACTTGCAGGCTCCACAGCTTCTTGTTTCAAATGTGGTCTGACTGACTCTTTTCTTAGATGACTGTATAGACAGTTTTTGCCTCCTGTATCAGGACAAGAAACCAGGACTAATTACTTATATATTCAGAGCTCTGTTTATATTGTTGTGATTATGTTCTGTCTTTCTGAAAAGAATTGAAGAGTTGTTTTAAATCTTTCATCTTTTTTTTTCCCTATCATATGCCTTTCCAGTACTTTTCCCTAGTATGGTTCCCTTTATCATCCATTCAACCACAAATTTCCACCCAAAGATTCTTTTCTTCCTATACCCACATGTTTTCTAAGGCTCTACCTTCACCTCTGCTGATTGCATTCAGTAGCAGACATCCTTCTATGAGATTCCTTTAACAGCCATTTAATTCTACTTCCTACTACATAGAATCTACTTCCTTTTTTCATTATTGGCTTTTTATAGGTTGTTGGGGATCTTTGAAATTTAGAGTCTGGATACACTTGGAATTATCTGAATACCAGCAAACCTCATCACTTTCAAGAAGACCAAGTCAGCCTAGCCTGAATTTGAAAAACCGTGTCAAATTTCTCAAGATATGGACTAAGAAAGGAGTTTAATCTGAAGATTTGGAAAACATCCAGTTATGAAGCTTGGAGAAGAGTGTTTGCAACAGAACCCAGAAGCTGGTTCATTAAAGCAAGGCATGTCCATAAATCAGAAGATATTTAGTCTGAAGTTAATAAGCCCATCAGGGTACCACAAATGGGTACTTCAAGTGGGTACTCTAATGTGTGTGAACACCTCTGAATGAAGCCTACATCGAGATATACATTGCCTTTAGAACTAGCTAAGGTAAAATGAGCTATTACAGAAGTCAAGCAAGTGCTCTGCAGAGCCTGGCACACTGTGCTTTGCTTCTGCTACTCAGCTACTTCAGCTGAGCTGCATCTGTTGTCTGCAGCAGAAAGCTGTCCTGCCCACCTTGGTGGGATACAGCCCATCACAAAGAACTGCCAATAAAGGCAGTAAACAAATCAGCTGTGAAATGTACACCCAAACTAGTATTTAATGCTGAATTAAATGACCTTGTGACCTAATTGTTATGCGACACCTAACGTGATTGGAAAGCCCAAACTCCGAAGATGACTGAAGTTTATTTCTCCATACTGGGGTCCTGCCCTCACCAATCCACTACTCTTGTGCACTTCTACTAATCTGGCTACCCCATCCAAATATGCACCAACAAATCTTACTGATGGACATTTTTTGTCTTCCCCCCCCAACCCCCTTGCATAACATATCTGCCTCAATATCACCCCACCTGCAGCAGCATGAAATTATTGCAATAACCATCACACACAAATTAAGCGCACTTCAATGTTTTACCACTAATAAAACCCTTCAGAAATAGGTAACATCTTTTTCCCACCTAAGTGAGATGGCCAAACTAAGGTAGACAGCTGTGTTGCAGTTAGACTCTGTGCAGAGTGAAGCTGAATTCTGCATTTCTTTGCTAGAGTACAGTGTACACACCAGAGACAAAGGCC